AAAAAAGAGAGGAAAAGAAGCCAATACAAAAGAGTTATTACATTCTACTCCAATGTTTCTAGTTGCTTAGTAAGTGGGGGTTAGGCATGAGACCCATGTTAGCTTTCACGTCAAACGGTGACTTGAAATATGAGTATGCAACGCACTCTAAGTTTATGACTTGTTGAGTAACTAGGTGCTTTCATCACAAATGTTAGTATTCGCGTCAAAAGGCAAGTGATAGTTTTGGGAAAAATATTTGTATGGCTTAAAAAAAAAAAAGTCAAATGTTTCGTGGCCTTTGTTACTTGAGTAAATATGTTCTTAGGGGTGTCTTTTCACCTAATGCCCTAAAGCCAATTGGTTTGGGAGTCATTGACAAAAAACTCGTTACATGAGTAACTTAGAAAGCCTAAGGAAACTTGACTCAAAAAGAAAAATAATAATAATAATAATGTGCTAAAGTGTGAAGGTCTAAATTCGAAAACTTTTCATTATGAATTTTCACACACACACACTAAGTGCTCATGAGTTAAATCTTTTGATAAGTGGTGTGAAGAATAGGATGGAGTATTTGAAGTTAAGGGAGTATTTGAAACTCTTGAATATTTGAGACTTTATATCTAATTGAATTTTAATTCCTAAATTTTCTTTGCATGCATATCATGTAGTTGCATTCTTGCATTAGGATTTTGTGGGTAGATCCACTGAAAACCCTCACGAGACACAACTCGTCCACTAGGGTGACCTAGGGATTTAAAGGCTTGTTGCACATACTAAGTGCAATCGTGATTCCTACGAAAGTGAGTTAAGTTTTATTTTTGTCATTTTATTTTGCTCGAGGACTAGCAAAACTTAAGTTTGGGAGAATTTGATGAGCTGAATTTATATACATATTAATGTTGAATTTTTGCCTTGACATTATTAATATTTGAAAGAATTTTATGAGATTTTATATGAGTTTCATTCTTTGTGCAGAAAAGGATTTGGATGCATAATAATAGGAGTTTTTGGAATTAATTGAACATCTTTTGAAAGTTGAGGGACTGAACTGCAAGAAGAAAGAGGCTTCTTTGGGACCTAAATGAAAGAATCTTAAGTTTCGAGATCTTAGTGCTCATTGTGCAAAAATTGGAGGATCAAATCTAAAATTTTACCATTGAAGAAATTGCAAAACAAGGTCAGAAACCCGACACGGGTGTGGTGTCGACACATAATCAGGGTGTCGAAACTATGCGTCAAGCGAATAGAATTACAGATTCCGTTTCCTGTTCTGTGTCGACACATAATTAAGGGTATTGGCACTATACGTTTAGCGTCCAAAAATCTCAATTTCTTATTTTTTCGAGTCCTACTTCTCTTCTAATAGGGTTTTTTAAACTCTATAAATACCCATTCAAAAAATTAGTTTGAGGGCTTTTGAGAGGAGATCAAGAGAGACGACTAAGAGGAATTCAACAATAAAAGAAGATCAAGGCTTGGAATTTATATCGTCACACTGATTTTGCTTATCCTTGAATTTTATTTCATAATGTTGGATACTCATATATTCATCATGAGATTGTTGATTCTCTTTTCTTTAATTATGAACTGATTTGTCATCTAAGGCTATGATGTAACCTGATCAATTTAACATAGAGTTTTATGATTTTTATACTTTCAAGGTTTATTATTTTATGTAGAATATATATTATTGTTCTTAATGCTTTTTAATGATTGGCCACCATTAAAACTGATTTGGAGAGCATAATTGAGATCGAGAGGAGATTTTATGCAATAGTTTCTAGTAATATACACCATGAATTGAATGAAAGCTAGAAATGGATCAACGTGATTTGTGCAGTATTAGTGATAAGTGGACTTAATTTTCTACGTAAACTAGGGAATTTCACAAAATATAATGCATTTTTATCTATTTAAATTCACATAGAGATATAGTGGGTTAATAGGTGAAGATAGGTTTGGTATAACTTAAGAAAGTATATTAGATAGGATAAGAAATCTCGCTGTCACATAAATAATAAATACTATATTAGTTGATTATGGTGAAATCGGATGCCTTAGAATTTTAACTCTTGGTATTACTTAAAGTCAATTTAGTTTTTCTTTAATTAGTTTAGTTATTTAGTTTATTCAAATCATTAAATTTCAATTGTTCAAATAAAGTTAGAATTGGTTAATTTTGGTACTTAATTAATCTATAGTCTCTGTGGGATGATACTCTATTTTCATCATTATATTACTTGAACTGACTAATACACTTGTTAGAGTGGAATTAGCTCATCAAAGCAATTAAAGACATCTACAGTATTAGATCTCGAAGCTGCTCAAACATTTGGCGTTGTCTGTGGGAACTTGAACAAAAAGCACTGTAATTTAATTAGTTTGAGCTAAAAATGGTACGCACCTTTACAAGAAACCGCCCTCCAAGAGGCAACATGGACGACCAGGACAATACTTAGCTCCTAGAAAGTGATCTCAATGACTTCCGAACGCTGTCGAGAAACCTTTTTGTTGGCGGTGCAGAGCAAGAATAGTCAAACACTTCAGATGATGATGAAAGAACACCTATTGGGTATGTAACCCAACCTGAAGAGCAGTTTCACATTCCAACTGAAGCCAGACGAAGGCATTCTAGGTATAATACTTCACGACCTGCTGAGAGACCCGAGGAATCTGCTCGGATGACCGAGTTGGAAGAAAGAGCAAGAGTTTTAGAAATGGTCATGGGAAAAATCCTCTCTCGTTTGATCCTTGATGACCCCTTAATTCCCCTACTGAATAGGGGTGAGCAATTGGCAGTAGTAGTTGCAACCCGCAACCCGCAACTCCCCAGCCTTCAGCAATGTAGTGGTCCCAACCAGACCAAGAGGAAGTGGGAAATTAAACCCAGAACCAAGCTTGTCTAGGCATAATGAAGAATTACTAAAAAAGAATGCTAATCTCAAAAGACAACTTAGAGATGTTCAGAAGTCTATTGACGAGTTGAAAAGTCCCAGGTCGCGCTAGCAGGCTCTCAACTTGTCCATCGCGGCAGAATCATATCAAGAGGGATTTAAGATTCCTCATTTAGACACATACGATGGCTCGGGAGACCCAGATGAACATTTACATACTTACCAGGCCATCATGAGAATCCAGAATGCCATTGACGCCATGATGTGCAAAGTCTTTCCCACGACATTGAAATCAACTGCCAGAAGATGGTACCACAAGTTACCCAGACATTCTATAGCTTCCTATTTTGAGCTCGCCACTCTGTTTTCAAACAAGTTTGCGAGTCAAAGGGAAATTAAACGCACCGTTACTGAGTTGATGCAGGTTCACCAGAAGGAGGGAGAGTCTTTAAGGGGACTATATGCAACGGTTCAACAAGTCCACTTTGGACATTGATAATGTCCCTGATACTATCTGCCTATTTGCTTTGTTGCATGGCCTCAAACTTGGCCGGTTCTTGGACGACCTGCTAGAGAATCCACTTAAGTCGTGGAACGAAGTAAATGACAGGTCTACAAGCTTCATATTGTCCGAGGACTTTCAATCCTCTAAGCAACAAGCTGACGACAGACAGGGTAAAGAGCACAAACAGCCTGAGGGAAAGGATGAAAAGAAAAAACAGAAAGTTGGCGAGCAGAGAGGAAAACCACATTCCTTTCCAAAATATGACAGTTACATTCCATTGAGCTCGTCAAGGTCTCAGATATTGACACAAATACAACACTGGGTCAAGAGACCCCCTCCCCAAACACATGATTCCCCACGAGTTGACAGGAGTAAGTATTGTGACTATCATCGTGCATACGGCCACAACATAGAGGATTGTCAAAGCTTGAAGGACGAGCTGGAATTTTTAGCCCGCAATGGAAAATTGGAGGGATATGTACAGAAACCTTACGCCCGGCAACCCAATCAGACCCATTTTGTGCAAGAGTATGGTCGATCTTAGGAGCAAGGATATCAGCTCGGCAACAATCAAAATCCTTATCAGGCAAGTCAATACTCATTTGAACCTAACAGAGCTTACAGAGGACGCCCGTTCAATAGACGAGGACAGGGACAGAAGACATCCACACAGAATCAAAAGGACCACAAAGGGGGCGGTTACAGCGGCATACCCTCACCTTCTGGCACAACGAATATGATCTCTGGCGGCATGCATTCAGGAGGCCAAAGTGCTTGAGGTCGTAAAGCTTATGCTTGCCAAGTGATGATGGTAACCAAGAACAGACCTCTGAAACGACCTTTTGAAGAAGTAGAATGGAAAAATGCACCAATTACATTTAGCCCGGCTGATTATAAGTGCTCAGAAGGAGAACAAAACGCTATGATGCCCCATGTCGACCCCTTTGTGGCAACGGTTCATATTGGCAATCATAACGTCAATAAGGTCTTCATAGACACGGGCAGCTCTCTTGACATCCTTTATTGGAGCTGTTTCTAGAAGATGTAGCTAAACCGGAGTTCCTTAAGAAAGTATGATGGGCCAATATACGGATTTGACAATCAGCCCGTCCTTGTTGAAGGAGTGATTACACTTCCTATATACGTGGGCATTGAACCACGGTTTAGGATGGCATCAGTAGATTTTCTAGTGGTTAAGATGGAGTCAGCTTTCAATGCTATAATTGGAAGAGTTACACTTTGCGAATTGAAAGTTGTCTTCTCTCAACCATACCTCTGTATGAAGTTCCTAACTCCTCAAGGTGTAGGTGTGTTCAAATGGGAACTAGAAAATGGCTAGAACTTGCTATCAAGATACTTTTAAGAAGGTCGAGTTCGCAGTAGCACCCAAGACCCCTAGTGCAAACGTTTCAAGACCGAGCTAGCTAGGTCAACATACAATGAGCATATTTGACATAGATCATCGACCTAAGAATGTGGAGCAGAAAGCCGAGCCAGTAGAACCGGTTGAGACAGTTCCTTTAAGCCCAGATGAACCAGATAAAAGAGTGAAAATAGGAACCAAACTCACACCGGAAGAAAGGACCAAGCTTTTGGAATTTTTGAAAGCTAATAGGGATGTATTTGCGTGGACAATAGATGAAATGCTTGGCATACCAACAAAATTCGTAGTCCACAAGCTCAGTACGGATCTTACCAAGAAACCGGTGGTGCAAAAGTGTCGCCTTGTGGGCCCCAAGAAGCAGGCTGCCATAGATGAGGAAATACAGAAACTATTACAGGCAGGCTTCATCAGGAGAGTTGAATATTCTGAGTGGGTATCCAACCCTGTGCTCGTCAAAAAACCCAACGGCAAGTGGAGAATGTGTATCGACTTTACCAATTTGAATGAAGCGTGTCCCAAAGATCTACACCCCTTGCCTAATGTGGAAAAACTAGTAGAATGAGCAGCGGGACATGAACTCATGAGCTTCCTTGAGGCTAACTCGGGGTATCATCAGGTGCAATTGTTGTTGGATGACTAGGAAAAAACGGCATTTTATGTAGGGGATGCGATTTACTGTTATGTAATGATGCCGTTTGGTTTGAAGAATGCTGGCACGACATACCAGAAGTTGGTCTAGGTTGTCTTTAAGCTACAGATTGGCCGGAATATTGAAGTATATGTGGATGATATGATTGTCACCAGTGTACGAGCTGAAGACCATGTTGACGACCTGAATGAGACATTTCAAAATTTAAGACGGGCGCAAATGAAGATAAACCCGTTGAAATGTACGTTTGCTGTGAAATCAGGTAAATTCCTAGGATATGTGGCATCCAAGAAGGGGATCGAGGTGAACCCAAACAAGGTTGAGGCCGTGCAAAAAATGGAATCCCCTAAAACAATAAAAGATGTATAGCGTTTAAGAGGTCATCTTGCGGCTCTACACAGGTTCATTGCTAGGTCGGCAGAAAAATGCTTCCCATTCTTCAAAGCTTTGCGAGAGCCTAAGGACTTCCAATGCACTGATGAATGCCAGCAGGCTTTCGAGGAACTCAAGCAATATCTGGCATTACCACCTTTGCTCTCCAAGCCTATCGAAGGGGAGACATTGTATCTATATCTGGGGGTTGCAAATGAGGCAGTCAGTTCAGTCCTTTTAAGAGAGCAAGATAAACACCAGAGATCCATCTGTTACACAAGTAAAGTCTTGTAGGGAGCTGAACGAAATTATCCAATAGTTGAAAGGGCTGTTTTTGCACTTATCTGCACTGCTTGAAAGCTAAGAGCATATTTCCAATCCCATGAGATTGTTGTGTACACCAACCTGCCATTGCGGAAGATATTGCAAAAACCAGAACTATTTGGTCGGTTGATTGGATGGGCGATCAAGCTGAGTGAGCATGACCTCAAGTTTCAGCCACGCACAACCATTAAGGGCCAAGTTTTAGCAGATTTCTTGATAGAATGTAGGCCAACGACTGCAGAGGAAACCACACAGCCATACCCAGTGTGGGTTCTATATGTGGATGGGGCAGCCAATGTTGAGGGATCAGGAGCAAGAGTAGTGCTGTTGGGTCCAGAGGGTTTCAAATCTGAGCATGCCCTGAGGTTCAAATTTCAGACAACAAATAATGTCGCTGAATATGAAGCACTCATTTACGGTTTGAAGTTGGCATCCGAGCTAAAGGCACAGAGCATAAGAGTCTTTAGTGACTCTCAGCTCGTAATAAATCAAGTAAATGGAAGCTGTGACATCAAAGATCCTCAGCTCAGTCGATGCATGTCTATGGTTAATAAAATGAAATCAGGCTTTATCTCGTTCCAAATTGACAAGATGCCGAGGGTAGATAATCGATGAGCTGATGAGTTATCAAAGTTAGCTTCCTCACAAGACATTAACCCTCAGAGGACCACATTGGTTGAAGTACTAGATGCATCAAGCTATACCAGTTTAGCAGTTAAGTGTCAAGTACTAATCACAGATGCCTCCTCACCGAGCTGGTCTACACCTCGGATTGATTACTTACGAACTGGTGAATTGCCAGAAGATCCATCTGACACTCGATTGATTAGAGGTAGAGCAGCACATTTTTCATTGATTGAGGATCAATTATACAAGTGTGCAGCTTCAATGCCTTTGTTACGCTGCCTTACTCCTTATGAGGTTGAATCTGCTATAAGAGAGGTTCATGAAGGAGTGTGTGGCACACACATTGGAGGGAAAACTCTGGCTTGAAAGATCTTAAGGCATGGATACTATTGGCCTACTATGGTTGAGGATGCACAAAATTATGTCAAAAAATGCCCAACCTGCCAGTTCAATGCTGATGACATTTACATGCCAAGTACCTGAGCTCGTTCTAAAGTTTACACGAATTTCACGTTTGTCTATGAACTAAACGTGCAAGTCTCTTTTGGCACAGGCGAGAGGTTATCGTCTCTCATATCACCCTGGCCTTTCGCCCAATGGGGAGTAGATTTGCTCGACCCTTTTACAAAAGGTAAGGGAGGTTGCACACATCTTATAGTTGTTGTGGACTACTTCACCAAGTGGATAGAAGCCAAACCGTTGTCCACAACGACTGAGAAGAAAATAGAAGAATTTCTGTTTAATTCTATACTGTGGAGGTACACACAGTTTAAAACATGCATGTAGTATACATGTAAACACTTGTGCCTTAGTCAATGCGTTTGTACGCAGGTTCGGAATTCCTATGCTAATAATTGCTGATAATGGACCTCAGTTTCGGGCAGCGGCACTCAGGTCATTCTGTGGTGACCATAGCATCGAGCTGACCCTCACTTCTGTATATACACCACAGTCAAATGGACAAGCATAGTCAGCGAATAAAATTGTTTTTACAGCGCCTTAAGAGGCACGTCTTGGCGACACAGTCTAATTGGGTTGACGAGCCTAACAAAGTTTTATGGTCATGTTGCACCACGCCTAGCTCGGCTAGTAGTGAAACCCCATTCTGCCTCGCTTATGGAGCTGAGGTCGTAATCCCAGTGGAAGTTGGTTTGTCATCCAACGGGTCAGCTCGTTACAATGATTATGATAATGAATAACTCTTGAGAGAAAACCTAGACTTTGTCGAGGAGGTTAGGGAGCTTTTTCGAATAAAAAAACATGGCCTATTAGAATCGCGTGGCTAGATTTTACAATAAAAGGATACGAGCTAGGCAATTTCAAGTCGATGACTTGGTTTTATGCAAGGCTGGGCTCACTAACGCTCACTCACACATGGGTAATCCCTCAGTATCCTTCCCCTCTTTTACAATTGACGAAGGCCACACTGGCACTCCCTCTTCATTCAATTCCCATTTCAGCCTCATAGTGGCATCAGCTAGAGGGGCGAGGCTTTTTCCTTGTTCGTCCATCTCCTCCCCCTCGAAGAAGGCCAGCTCGCAAATTGGAAAGTCAGCCCGGTGTCGTAGCACCTTCCCACGAATCTCGTTGTAGATGTCCGTGGTAGTGTTTGTTGAGGCAACTGCCACGACGTCCTAGAACATGTCTGCTCCAACCAGCCACTCAGCTCCTTATGCCCAAGCAAAGCAGATAGCGTGATAGTGGTGCTTCTTGGGCTGTTCTAAGGACGCCTCAACCTGGGCGACATTCTGGTTGGCTTTTGCAACCCTATCTTTTAGGGAGTTTAGCTTGTGAAGAGCCTTCTCTCTGTCAGATTCAGCTCTTCTGGCCTAGTCTTCAGCACGACCGGCCTCTTCCTTTGCAGCTTGAATGCCGTTCTCCCTCTCTGCTTAAGCTTTCTCCAACTCCTCTCTCAGCTCGTTGACCTTGCGGGCCAACTCATTAGCTTGGTTCTCTGCAGACCCAGCTCTGTTCACCATCTCCGAGCTCTGCAACCAACTAACCTCATCTTCCAAGCTAGCCTTCTTAGAGGCCAGCTGTTTGCAGCTTTGCTAGAGCTTGCAGTTCTGCCCGCGCGCCCCCTGCTTGCACTCAAAAAGTGCCACAACATAGCTGAACGCCTGCCATATGAACTCAAGTGTTAGTTCCTAGCTCGAACTGTTATAAGCGTGACAGTCTGTGTTCAGTAAGAATACTTACGTCCATTAGCTTTAACATAGCGGCGTGACCACCATACTGCAGAACGTGCCCCTTTGTATGTTGCCGATCTACAGGGGGAACGAAATTTTGCATACCCTGCATGACGATGGACTGGCAGTCAGCTCAGAGATAGCTGAAGCCCTTTGGGTATGCAATCCTAGGTCCCCCTACAGAGGTGGATGCGGCCACGAGCTCAGTCACGTCACGTGCCAGCGCCGGTGGCACGTTCAAAGTGCAAGCAGCAACAGGCTGAACGGCTTGACCCTTAGTGCTCGTTCTCCGCCGGATGAGTGGCACGTCATCCTTGGCGTTACAGTCATCTCGAGCACGCCTTCTAGAACTTGAGGGTGTAGTTTCAACTCTTTGCTCGACACGGGGTTTTGATGCGCCGGTGCTGCAGGTGGTCGTTCGTCAAAACGAGTTTGCAGTTAGGACCCGGACCTAGCACCACGGTTCCTTGAGCTTTGTACTCGTTGACGTTGTCTCTCCAATATGCTACTCATTTCTCCTGTACAAACAAAGGCATAAGACTCAGATCGGCTAGAAACTACAGTATGCAATAGAAATATACCTTCAGCATACAGGTTTGCCATGTCGACAAACCCAAATAATGCGAGCTGCTCTGGGTAACTAGGGCTTCTAAATCTACTAAACCCTCAGCCTTAACATAATCTAGCAGTCGATTCTTCAGGTCGACATCACCAAGAGCCAGCTTAGGGTAGTTCATGTACATATTTGGCGTACGCCACTCTGATATATGAGCAGCGAGCTCGTTTTTCATCCTCTCTGTCCGCGTGTCATGAACGAAAATGAACTATCTCTTCTACCTCGCTACTTTATTTATGATATTTGTAAAAATCATCATCTTTTCCTTCCCGAAGATATAATACCACCTCGTTCCGCTCGTGGAAGGGCATACGCGACACAAGAAGAGCAGCCTGAAAACTATCGCCTTCGCAAGTATCTCCAACCTCTCACATAATAGCATAAATCCTATAATGAACTTTATGCTGTTGGGAGTCATCTGCGTTAGGGTCAACTCGTACTCTGCCAAAACATAAAAAATTAGTTCGGGCAGAGGAAAACATAGACTGGCGTCAAAGTGGTCTACATATACTAGCACCCAGCCCGTCCTCGATACTGTACACGCTCTCTCATTTAGCGTCCCAGCTCGAATTAAGATGGTTCTGGGGATCTGGTATTGCCTCACCATTTCCTCTAATTTTTTGTACCCTTTCACCGTGGTTGAGCCGTCTGCAACTTCATGATGCAGTGCCGCCCTGAATCTAAAATCGACAGGGATAGTCTTGGGGGCTTTACGGAGGTTATCCAGTCTCCCGCTGATAACCTTACTCTCCTATCCTTTAAGTACAACCGTGTTCGTCTCCGTATTTGCCGCCGGCGGACTTAAACCACCCTCTTCAGCATCCCCCACTTCACTAGGTGTCTCCTTCGTGGACGAATCTCTAGAGGTTGAAGAATGGTGGTTGCCGGAGTCACCACCTGCGCTTAAACTAGCGCTACTCTCTGGTGTGATGGTTCCGGGCAAATGCTGCAACACCGGTGGCACTATCATGGCAATGGGTTCCATTGATATAACACCCTTTTCTTCTTCCCCCCTAGTTACCCCGAAGCTCTCTTACATTGTGAAAAGAAGCCATTTTTACCTGAGTTTTGGAAAACGGATGTCCTTTCGCTGAAAAGTCCTAAAGAATGAGCCTGAAATGCCTCTACAACCGTCGCTGCGAAAATTGACAAAGTACTGTGCAATGAAACAGAGAAATGCGTGAATCTTTCTGTTGCTTTTTTCACAAATCGCACTCTCGTAAATGTTGTATGCAAATTTCTGGCCTCCCAGTTAAACGTATACACGTGGCAGTCATTTACGGTTGAGTACGCAAAACCTGCCACCTGTAACTGTCACGTCCCCTCAAATGCTGAGTTAGCATTTATTGCAGGAAGGCAGAAGAATACCAAACGCTCTGAGCATATCTCCTCAGAGATTTGCCTTATTTTAAAATTTGAAAAATCTCGAAGGTTCAGGTCATTACAAATTAGAGATTCACCTCAGTTTTGAATTTCGAAGAATACAGGATATTATGTCGTTACCAACTTCTGCAGATTTGTTTTGTATCCTAGGGATCTATGTTATAGTGACGATTTAGGTCGCTCATTTTAGTTCGTCTTGGTATTCACATTATAGCAGTGTTGTTTTAGCTTATTCTTGTAATATCAGGACGTCCTCAATATATAAGATTTTTGAAAGGCTGGAGTGGCTCAGCTCGTCCGACGTCTGCTCGCCTTCACGTTACTATAGGAAATCCATCATACGAGCTCGCCTTTACGAGCTCACTAAATTCGCCGATGAACACTGAACTCACATAATGGTTTCGACACCAGCTTGCCTACGCACGCTCAGTAGGAAACCAGTATATGCATACACACTCGATGGGACCGCCCTGACTTCAGGTCACCCAGTTCGACCATGTGTGAGGTCGATCGCAAATCCTCAGATATCACTCCTCATCCCCAGAGTCAAACATTACGCCACTGGAACTCTCAATCCAGTTCGTCAACCAAACACTAAAGGGGAATAATGTTGGGATTAGGCCAACACCCACTCTGGACCACACACAATAGGCCCAGTTGTATGCTCACAAGCCCAAGATGAGGAGACACACTCACGTGAGCAGTAACATGTAGGCCAATTGGATGCATACACATCTGGACTCATGTCAATATATAGGGTTATAAATACCTCCAACTACCTCCATGCAAAGTATTAACTCCACTAGGCTTCTCTCTCTACAATTACTAATACGTAGGCCAATTAAATGCATACACATCTAGATTCATGTCAGTATATGAGACTATAAATACCCTCAATTACCTCCATGTAAGATATTAACTCCACTACGCTTCTCTCTTTGTAATTATTTTTTGAGAGCATCTCTCTTTAAAATATTAAATATTGCTAACTTAAGCGTCTAAATATTTTTATCGAGTAAACATCCTCACGAATTTCAGATGTTCAAGCAGTTGAAGACATTTACATTATTAGATCTCGAAGCTACCCAAACACAAACACGACAGAGCTTTATCGGTAACAATCAGAGTCCGATCTGGCAGCTCCTTCCCATGAGATCATGCTTAGATCATTCCCCTCACTGCCTCCCCAAAAGGACTCCTCTGTTGTAGAAAAATACCTAAGGCAAAGATAAATCCAGAAACGCAGCTTTCAAAAACAGTCACTCCTCTAAGAGCTTAACGATCTCCTCTCGAGCTGCTGCTTCCTTCTAGCCGAAACCCCTCTCTTTTCTTCGCCGTCAACACCAAAACTCAAAACAAAGAACCCCCACAGAATCAATCAAAGAAGAAAAAAAACAGATCAATTCTTTTCAATTTTTTTTTTCAGTTTCTCTTCTCCCTTTCAAAACCAGATCTCCATTTTTTTTTTCGAACTTCCCTCTCTCTCCACCGCCCTCTCCTTCTCTGATCTTT